GGAAGCCAGAGTTTGATTTCAACACTACATCTTCACGCCCATACTGTAGTACACTGTAGAGGTAATAGTGTTGTGACTGGGATGGATGCTCCTGGTCTCTCAGAACACCCGCACCAGGACATAAACGAACAGGAGCTGGACTTTTCAGATCTGTTTCTATGTCATCATGATGGTAAGGCCTCTGATATCATCTTTGAATAAGCTTCGACTTGGTGAAATAGCAGGCAGTATGTAAACAATGTGTAATTTTAAAACTTAAGTGTCTACAGTCTCTGAAAGCTGCAATTCAATTTTTTCTTGTTTTGCCCTAACAACAGTATAAGTCGGGGGACAAACTTCATGTCAATTGTGCGACTAAAATTCAACTTGATTTTAATTTGAGTGAAATGTTCCTGAACAAACAATCAGCCTACTTCTGTGATATAGAATTTATATTACAGTAAATTAATTAGTTAGTGACTGAGAACTTTGACACTACATCGATGACAAAGTCGGTTTACATCATGTAGAAATAGGCTTTCCGCCAAAATGATATATGTGTGCTATCATCTAATCTAATCTTGTATCTGAAAAGTTACTTGGAAAGCCGACCAAGTCCTTTAGGCATGTCCTTATTCTGGGAATTATAAAACATGTACACATGCTACCTGCTTATTAGTTAACTGATTCTATTAACAGATGACCTCCATGGCCTCCTCCCAAACTCACACACCCCCCGATGTTGGAGGTGGACTGTCCCAGTATACGCCACTACTCCTCACCACCAGAACCCGGTCAGGACCCCACTGCTGCCCACCGAACACACCAGGAACCCACTGCTGACCTCCACACACATTTCATTTCACCCGGCCTCTCCCTCCCGCTCCAGCCTCATCCCAGCCCCAAGTCCTAGGATCGAGATTACGCCTTCTGGAGACTCGCTCAGCTCTCACCCGCACACCCAGCCCCAGGGCCCCACAGCTCTAGGAGTGTACAGAGAGTGCTCCAGTCCAGGCAGCAGTAACTCGTCTACAGGGTGGCCCTCTGAAAACTGCTCCCCCCTGGTCTCCCCCTGTGCCTCTCCATGCAACAGCGGAGGTAAGTTAAGACAATACGGATAGAAGCAGAGCCGATTTTGATCCGGATACTTAAAGAATGGACAAAACTTTTATTACAAGTGATTCTGCAACTTGCTGTAATTAATGATAATAAAAAACAACAAATCTAAGAACACTTTGTGAGTGACAGAATCTGAAAAAATATCCAGAAATGAACATATTCATAATTACATAGAATGTATTGTATTGTATTGTATTGATGTCCAAGACCCTGAAATGCGTCTATGATCTAGAGAAAACTCATTCCTTGTCTGGGCGGCGTGCTTTGGCCAGCCATGTTCCATCTTCAAAGCTGTCACAGAAAATCTCACAATACATGGCCCTATCCACCTGCAGTGTTTAAAACAGATCAGTTGCTCTATACTCTCTACTGGAAAGCAGACCCAAATTATGCTGTTTCCATCTCCATGCATCACAGTGGGTATGGTGTTCTTTTGGTGCTACAACTCAGTATTCTTTCCCCTCCATAGACAACTCTAAAGTTTTTACCAAAAAGTTATATTTTGGTCTCATCAAAAATAATGCATTTCAAAAACTATAGTTTTTGGCTGCTTTTCTGTAAAGGGGATTGCACGATTATAAAACATGGACATTCCAGGATTGGCAAACACAATATTTCATTATGATGATGTGCAAAAAAACAATAGTTATTCAGACAACAATAATAAATAAGGTATAACAATTCTCATCTACAAAGGTGCAGCCGTCAAGTACCGAATAGCCAGAAACAGTGAATTTGCTCCCAAAATGATTACAATTCAGAATTATATCAATCCATCCATCTAATATTATCTATATCTATCTATAGTTTTTTCAAACTGTCAACAAAAAGAGAATACAAAATAAACAGAAAGACAACTGTGTCTTTCTGTTTATTTTGTATTCTCTTTCTCTCTGGAACAATGGATTGGATGAAGCAGACATAGTTTGTGTAGTTTACGGTAGTGCGTTCAGATCATGTAAAACGGTATTTAATTTGCAGGCTACAGCTTATCAGCTCTGGATCTCTGCCCGGGACTTCGGGCATTCCACACATCCTCCACACACTCTACTCCAGGTGGGTCGCCCCACAGCAATGTCCCGTATGAGACCTTCCTCCTGCCCCACCAGCCCACTGTCCCCACAAAGCTGAGCCAGCCGCACCAGCGCTCCCGCTCCCTCTCTCCACAGGGAAAGCGATCCTACCACCAACTCCACTCGTGTACCGGACCCACGCCGGCCAAACAACGCTCACGGAGCCCGAGCCCCAGCCCTGTCCCGTCTCCGAATGAGCCGCAGAGGTCTCATTACCTCCACCAACACCACAGCCCCACCCCTGTGCTGAGCGGCCTGTTGAGCGGCCTAAATGCAGCGGTGATGCCTTCAGTGGGGGCGCAGGCTGCACACAGGTCGGCCCCGAGACAGGACTGTGTCTATGGGGACAGGGGGAAGTGGCAGCAGCCGGAGAAGGACGTTAGAGCTGAGGTGAGAACATGTGCATTATCAGATCAGACTGTGGGACTATTCATGATTTGATGATGAATTGCCACTGTGTTCATAGTTTTACATATCTGGTTGTGAAGTATTTGTAGGCATAAATAAATTACACAAAGTTTACACTTTTTGTAACCTTTTTTTATACGGATGGAAAAAACAGCAGAACAGTCAAAACAACCTTTTCTTGCACATTGTGTAGACTAGTCAAAGCTGAGAAAAGTCTTTGTTGAACAAAGAATTGTGAGTATTGCTGGACATTCTTATATCTTGTGATTTTAGATCCCCATTGAGTTTGAATGTGCAAATTGGGTACAAATGATACTATTCTGAAATAAGGAATCTGTGTTCTTGGTGAGGAAAGTGAGATGACACTTTTCAAATACATTCAATACAATGCAAGACATTGTCTCATTTTGGGTGGATGATTCAGATTGACACTTACTTTAATTTGTGTTGTGTTCCTGATGTCATTGTCTTATTGCTCTGTAGGTCACGTCTGAGGCCTTCTATATTATACCAAATGTGTGGCCTGCTCCCACTCATCATGGAGCTTTTAGGTTTGCTGACTTTCCATCATCACATATGGTCGTTGTTTCGTAATGTGATTCTACAGTATTTTAAATGATAATACATGTTTGGCTTCTTGTGTTTGGCGTCCAGTGTGTCCATGGCTGCCCTGCCCTCTCTGGAGTGGCAGCTGCCCTCTGAGGTGGGTCAGTACAAGTTGCAGATTCAGCAGCAGCCCAGAGCCTTCCATCGAGCGCACTATGAGACCGAGGGGAGCAGGGGGGCAGTGAAGACGGCCAGCGGAGGACATCCACAAGTGCAGGTCAGGAACGCTCAGACACATTCTAAACAACTACGATACCAATCTAATTGGTTAAGGCAATATTTGCTAGATTATATTGTTGACGGATGTACCAATCTGTTGATTGTGGGCCAATTAATCTAATTTGTCGGATTGGCCGATATATATTGGTTGGATTGAGCAGTGTATTGTCAGAAGGAACTATTTGCATAGATTTTTTTTGGTATAGGGCCAATACCAAAAGAAACAACTGAAACACAACCTTCGTACCTGCAGACTATTCATCCAGTAGCGTAGTATTCATCTATGGTGGTGTTATGTGAGATCCTGATCCCCTCTGTGCTAGAAAACTAAGCAGGGCAGGGCCTGATTAGTGCTACGATGGGAGACCTCTGCTCTGCTTTATCTTTTATGTTGAGGTTTATGCTCCTAATATTACCAGATTAATCTAGTACGGTTTTAAGAATTAACTCGAAATATTATGAAAATAATCTCGTATAAATATTACTGTGAATTCAATTGTTTAGCGCAAACAGAAAACAGAAGCAATGTGTCTGTTATAAATAGACACAGACTTCCTGTTTAAAACCACAATGCGATTATCTGCTGCTTCATGGAGGGCATTTCGGCAATGTGACTTTTCTGACAACAAAAAAAAATCCTCTTTTTTATTATTATTGTATTGTTTATTTGGCTGTGACAGTACATGTTAATGAACACATCACTCCAGATTGTAGCCATGGGCTAATTTGCATTCGTTGTCCCACATTCGCACTCACAAACACACACTCATTCACCCTGAACTATTGCACGTGTTTTTAGTGGTAGGGGAAACCGGAGTACCCGGAGGAAACCTACGCAGACACCAGGAGAATATGCAAACTCCACTTAGAAAGGCCCTGTTACTACCGGGATTTGAACCCAAAACCTTCTTGCTGAGAAGTGAGAGTGCCAACCACTCAGCCACCGTGCCGCCCTTACTTTTCAAAGTGTTTTCATTTTGTCATTGGCCAGGAGGAAAAGCTTAACTATTCTTTTAAAAACACATTATGATCATTTTATCATAAAGACTTTGCTTATGCAATATTACAAAGCTTATTTCTAGTTTGTAGATTTGTAGATTTAATGATTCGGATTGTGATATATGTTTTCTGTCTTCTCTTCTCAACCAGCTCTTGGGGTACCATGGCTCCTCTTCGCTCCGCCTGCAGGTTTTCATTGGAACTGCAGACGAGCGGCAGATGAAGCCTCACTCTTTCTACCAGGTTCACAGAGTCACAGGGAAGACGGCCTCCAGCAGCCGCTGTGAGGAGAGCGCGGTCTACGGGACCAAAGTACTAGAAATCCCACTGGAGCCCAAGAATAACATGAGAGTGATGTGAGTCGACAAATACATGTCTCAGGACTTTACAAAGTTGTCTCTGTTCACCAGATTAGAGAATGAAACTATTAGAACACAGTAAGCACCATGAAACTCTGTAGCATTCATTTTCATAAGTGCAATAATCAAATATTGATTTTAAATCCAATGAAAAAGCTGTCTCTTTTTCTCATCTAGATACCTTTTTTATTCAAAATATTAGGGTTGACTGCGTGGGAATACTGAAGCTGAGAAACGCTGACATCGAGCTTCGAAATGGGGAGATAGACATCGGTCGCAAAAACACTCGAGTGCGTCTGGTTTTCCGAGTGCACATCCCAGAACCAGGAGGACAACTGGTGTCACTGCAAGTCTGCTCCCAGCCCATAGAGTGCTGTGAGTAGCCATCTTTTATTAATCATTTTGGTTTATTATTTATAATATCTCAAAGATCACCAAATATAAAGAAGTCAGACGTTAAATGTATCTTCTATAAAAGTAACAGTGGTATTTATAAATTAGGTTAAACGTTTTTTTACTCTCCACTCAACAGAGTATCTGGTTAAAGTTGAACACCCTGTGCTTGTGTTTTGTCGGCAGCCCAGCGAGCCCAGGAAATGCCCTCGGTGGAGAGCCAGGACCTGGACAGATGTTCAGTGCTTGGGGGACAACAGATGGTTCTGACAGGAGCCAACTTCAGCCCAGACTCAAGGGTTGTCTTCACAGAGAAGACACAAGGTGAGCGGATCACAGAGCTGGTTCTTATCCTATATATATATGTATATATATATATATATATATGTATATATATAGACATAAAAATATATATATATATATATATATATATATATATATATATATATATGTATATATATATATATATACATAAATATAGATATATATATTTATATCTATATATATATTGAATTTGAATATGGTTTGAGAGTCTAGATTCCATAATCATAACTACATTTGTTTTAGCCGTTACAGTTATCTGTTGGGGTTAGATCAAAGGTTAAGTTAACAGGATGTGGTAAGACAGAAAGAGAGTTTTGTAGAGCAGAGTTGTCATGTGAGAAAGTGAAATGCAGAACTAGACTCAAAGTTTGGACAAAGCGAGACAGTATGTCTGATTTATGTTTTATTTATATATTTCTCTGGCATCTTTTGTGCATTTAATTTGACGAACACATGATTTTAACAAACAAATAATTTGAACAAAGGTTACCAAGCAGTTTTTGTGTGTTCGATGGGCATGACAGCTGGGACACATGGCCCACAGTTTGCCTTGTTACTTTTACTTAAAGGGCATCCACCATCAAAGATCTCCAAAGATGATTAGTATTCTGCAAATAAACTAACCTTCAGTAAATATGTAACACAATTAATGAATGAGCCGTTGACCTTTGAGATTCCACTTGCTTTGTTCTCTCTCTTTTCTTTTTTACTTTACAAAAAACAAACAATATATTGAAATATTATAGGCCAATGTGAAATCTCCAATGTGCAATTAGCATATCAAGGGAAAAAAAGCATTTGGAAGCTCAAGCTATATAATTGGCAATAAAAATCCGTCATTGCCGTAAAATGACAGTTGTGTCAGGTTATTACTTTCACTTTTAGTTGCCATGTCAGGAAGTATGCAGAATTCACTTTTCATGTTTCCAGATGGAGTGCAGAACTGGGAGGCTGTGGCGACCGTCGACAGAGACAAGACACAATCTGTGAGTTATGTACAGTGGTTGAGTTGTCATCAGTATTTATAATCAGATTCTAATCAAGTCACATAAAAAGGACAACATTTTACCTTCAATGGTTTTGGAAGGATTTTGATCTATAGCTAAATATTATAAGATGAATTACTTTATACTATATACTGGGGGCGACAGTGGCTCAGTTGGTAGAGCATTGGCCTTGGAGCCTGAAGGTCGTGGGTTTGAATCCACCACAAGACCTACTTCCCGACTCCCACTGATGACTGCTGTCGCTGTGTCCTTGGGCAAGTCACTTTGCCTGAAGCCCCTGCTGAATAATCAAGGCTCCTGTGGACTCACCACCTGCAGGAGGATCAGTGCGGGGCTGGTGCTCTGTGAACTGGGTGCAGCTCTGACTGCCACCCCCCTGACCCAGAAATGGAGTAAGGGGAAGAAAATGGATGGATGGATGGATACTTTTTACTAGTATTTTCTGTTTTAATTAATCTGTGTTTTCATTGAACTGAAATAGAATAAATATGTACCGTCCACGAATGCTTGAACCATTATCCTGTATTTGTCCAGAACATGCTGTTTGTTGAAGTTCCACCGTATCGAGATGGTAGAGTTTGCAGTCCTGTCAAAGTCCACTTCTATGTGATGAATGGGAAAAAGAACCAGAGCCAGCTTCAGCCGTTCACCTACACACCTCTGGGTACAGTGCACCTGGCATGACTTTGACTCAATACTAAACCTTTAGAAAGTGTCTATTGTTGTATCGCATGAGACCATCAGTCATTTCAGACTTCTCAGTCCGACCACAAACATTTGTCAGTCTAACCCTCACATCAGATCGAGAACATGGGGGTGATCAACCAGGGAGAATTTTGATGTGAGGGAATTGTTGCAACTTCATCCATGAGGCATACAGTACGTCGGTCCTGTAGCAATGTGGCACATGTCCATTAGACCCACTTGGATTGAGGTGGCCAGTGGAGTATTATTTTAAGCAGACATATTTCCCAAAAATGTCTGCTTAAAATAATACTGCATACATGAGAAAAGTATAGAAATCTTCAAACTATCAAATATTAAGATGTTACTGTTCATGTGTCCTGATTGAAAGTGTCAAAAGAACTAATTGAATATCACCAGATCTTTTGAGGGTCTAACTCTGACCTATGACAAAGCAAAACTACCGGTTCTCTTAACCTCATTATTTTTTGTTGCATCTTCTCTCCAGCCATTAAAGCCGAACCAGTAGATGACTACCAGGTGAATTACAGCTACCCAGAGAGCATTGCTATTTCTGGCTTTTCCATGAAGTCCCTTTACCATCACCACCATGACAGGAGCCTCCAGGCCCTGGGCGTCTCTCCGACACTGTACAGTCATATTTCTACTGTGAACAACAGAAACCCACTGGACACTTCCAACCACCAGCACCGATCCAACCCTGTGCTCTACCACACGCAACGCTATAACACCAATTCTCCCGTTTACCAAAAAACTGAACATGAAGATGCCATAGAGCCCAAACCATGTTCATATCAGGCACTGTTGCCTTCAGAGAAATCCTTATCGTCAACCTTTACTCGGTTTGCTAAACATAACTCAAGCATTGGTGTGATTAAACAGACAAACTCTGAAATCAGTGACCACGAGAAGCCAGTCACAGGGGAAATGACTCTAGAGGATATTGCCGGTGCCTTTATGCCTTTTATGGAAGATGGTAAGTGACCACACCAAACGGAAGTTATGAAAGTTATGACCACAAATTCTCATATTTGTATTTACCCTTTTAGAATAAATATACACAGAATCCCAGAGTTAAGAGGTGATATTATTCAAATGTCTGCATGTTTTTCCATTATTTTTGCATAGAAATTATTATTATTATCAGACACATGACTAACACCAGATTGTCGGCAAAGGCTAATGTCCATCCGTTGTCTTTGGTCCCAGAGGCTTTGGTCCCAGAGGCTTTGGTCCCAGAGCGTTTGGTCCCAGAGGCTTTGGTCCCAGAGCCTGTGGTCCCAGAGCCTGTGGTCCCAGAGCCTGTGGTCCCAGAGCCTGTGGTCCCAGAGCCTGAGGTCCCAAAGCCTGTGGTCCCAAAGCCTGTGGTCCCAGAGCCTGTGGTCCCAGAGCCTGTGGTCCCAGAGCCTGTGGTCCCAGAGCCTGTGGTCCCAGAGCCTGAGGTCCCAAAGCCTGTGGTCCCAGAGCCTGAGGTCCCAGAGCCTGTGGTCGTGGTACAGTTGATAAAACATACAACAACCACTACAGGAAAACACATTATTAGTTCACACGCAGTGTTAAAACCTTACACAAAAACAATTTGAAAATGAAAACAATTCACAATGCACATAAACCACATTATTACACCCGTCCCACTATTGCACACAACCTTCTATTACATACGTCCTAGTATTGCACACAGCTCATTGCACCTTGCTGTTGCTCTCAGCCTTTTATTGCAAACAGTCTTCTATTGCACACAACCTTCACAACACTCTATCCTGTTCCTATCGCTCAAAACAGGTTTGATTTGACCATAACCCTGTTTCATGTCAACTTTAGAGGTACCATATGTCTCAGTGTTATTATCAAAAGACTGTTCCACAGATTTTTCAAACTCTTAGAGGTGCAATATGAATAAAATACGACTTACTCTTACTCTGCTCAGAAGGAGTGGGCTGAAGCAAAAAGCTTATGAGCACCTCCACACGCCAAACTCAATTCAGTCAAACTTTTCATATAACAATACAAAAATCACATCCTTAATTATGGAATAATCAACAGTCAACAAATTCAACCAAATAAAGAATAGATCATACAATTAGCAACGTCTTATTGAGATTAGCCTCACTGACAAAAGGATGTGTATGGGGTTTAGCGCTGTGGGGACTGCACTGTTTGGAAATCTTTTCTGTACGATAACAGTGCATTTTTTTTCTCTGATGTAATGTATTTTTATGCATGCATCAGAGTTACCTGTTTCATATTTGAGCTTAAAGTTCTGGAGTCAAGCAGGATCAACATTGTGCAGACAAATGTGGACCTGTGGTACTTAGTTCCTGTAACAAAAGTAGACATAGTTTGAAGTTGAAAACTACAAATTATTAAATTATTAAACCAGATAATTTACATTTGTACATTATGATTTCAAAGTTTACATACGAAGGTTTGCCTTTAAAGTATTTAAAAAGCAGACAGTTTTGATGTTTAGATACTTGTCAAATAACATTTACTGAATTTGGATGATTTATTTATTAAATACAGACCTCTAGTGGCTATTGATGCAAAATGCACTGCAGACTTATGTACCTTTCCCTTTATACTTTATTACCGCCACGTTATAAAATAGTGGCATTCTCATTATTTACTTTTTCTTTATTTTTCAGTGAATGACATCATAAGAAGAGATCTTACAGACTGAGACTCCAGCTCAAAATAACTACATTTGGAAATAATGTTTTCCAAAAATGGGTCTGGGTAATTTTTTATTATTATTCTAGGATACAGTATGAATTGAACACGAAAAAAATAATAATAATAAAAAAAGTGTTGTATGCTCCCCTTCTTTGTAAGTAAATGTATAGGGAATACTTGCTTTTTAATAAATACATATTTTGTACATCTGTTCCTTATTCGACTTGGCCTTGTCTTTGTGTTTCTGTGTCCTGTCCACTTGGGGGCGCTATGTAGTTAACTGTGTTCAGGGACTAGGTCACTTCCGGGCCCGTATTTTCTTTTGTAGTGCGGAGCTAAGCACAAGACCTTATCAATACACTTATTCTACACATCATAAGATTATATTTGCGCAATTTACACCGAGAAGTCGCTGTGTGGAGTAATCCTGCCGCTGTAAGTGCGCACATAGTGCTTTCTGCATGTGTTTGTTATGCTCACAGCTGACATGAAGGTTTTAAACTCTGTAAACTATGTTTTTATAGATCCACATGACTATAGCCTACTGTGCAGAGCATCAGTGCTGCTAACCTGTCAGATTACCATTGTTGAATCAACAACAACAACAACAATAGTCTGTGGTGTTTTGATTCTAATGTGACTGCCTTGGGTAGAACTCCATTGTAAAAGACATTTAGGACATTCTTGTCTAAAAAAGATAAATATATCTTTTCAAATGAATATATAATACTATGTCTTGTTTACAAAGGCAGACTATCTTCCAAACAGCAGCATGTCAGAGCTGGACCTGTCCACCCCGGAGGTCCCAGAGCCTACCTTCCTGGAGAGTGTGCTGAAGTACGGTCTGTTCCTGGGAGCCATCTTCCAGCTCATCTGCATCCTCGCCATCATCATCCCCACGTCTAAAGGCCACGAACAGGTCAGGCTGTCAATATTTGGGTGATTCTTCAACTATGGACAAGTCTGGCTCTGAAATTATTAGAACATTTTAATTTGATTTTCAAAAATATAATAGTGCAGTATAATAGTATCAGTTTTATATAGCGCTTTTCTGGACTCTCAAAGACGCTTTACATGTCATTATTCTTTCACTCCATACATGGTGGTGATAAACTACTACTGTAGCCACAGCTGCCCTGAGGCACACTGACATCGGCCCCTCCGACCACCACCAACCATTCACACACACACCAGACTCATTCTAGGCAATGGGGGTGAAGTGTCTTGCCTACGGACACAACGGCAGTTTGGCACTTTACAGCCGCAGCTGCCCCACTGTGGCTGCCTAGAATAATAACTTATGGTTATGAAATTAATCTTTTTGAATTTCTTACAATAATACATCAATTTAAACTTTATACACCAGGTAATCAACACAACTCACAAACTTTTCTGTCCCTAAGGCGTTTGTTTGCATGTGGCGGAGCGATAAAATAAATACTAATAACCATACCTGTGCAGTGCCAGCCCAATCCGCCTGTTCTCCTGTTCCTCCATCACACAGCGAGCTAATCAAATGGGGTTGAGCCATCAGGATTGTACTCATAGATTACTCATTTATAATTATATATTATTAATAGATTTTTTAACTTAGAATCAAACGCCTCAACTGTTAGGTATTATGTTCCACCCTCTTGTTCCCTTTCTTTTTGTTCCCTTTCTTTTTCTGTGAGCTGCTATCTGCTTTTATTTTCCTTTTCTTATTTCTTTATGAAGCTTGTGAGACGTTACCATTTGCATATATGATTAAATAAAAGCAGTAAGTGGAAATCATCAATTTAATGTTAAGTGCCTGAAGACAAGAAGTTAATGTCACCAAGTCTATAATAACAGCTGTCATGGGCTTCTCGACAAGAGCTGTAAACCCACTGTGTAATTATTCTATTTTCACTCACTTCTTCTCACGTCCTTGTCTGGGATTTATTCTAAGCATCTTTTAGGAGTTTTAACCTGAAAAATGTTATCATTCAATAGACAACAAATCATGATTTTAATTTTAGTATTTCAAGTTCCATGTACTTTCACTTTTGTTGCTGATACTTTTTTAAGTAAGTAAGATTTGTATCAGATGTAAGGGGATAAGATAAGAGTTCCTTTAGTTGTTCCACAGTGGGGAAATTTCGATGTTGCAGCGCACATACAGGACGGTAGTAAGAGCACACAGGGAGCACACAATATATACAAAATAAGTAGTAGCTATGTTTTTAACTAGCATAACTAGCTGTAGATGCTGAAAATGATTCAATACCAGTCAAAGAAATATATACATGTATTAGTGCAGAGTTATGTACTGTACATATAGTGCAGGATAATAAGTAGAAAAAGTAAAGTGACATTGTTCAGTGGACATTCCGAAGGAGCAGTATTGCACATTGCACATGATTTACTTATTTACAGATGAATGAAATGTACAGGCTCAGCAGTTCTCATTGTACAGTCTGACAGCAGCAGGAAGGAAAGACCTGCGGAACCTCTCCTTCACACAGCGAGATGTCGATGTAATGTCATGCAAAAATATATTTATGTAAACTGTTTCAAGTGTTGTACAAAGATGCCAGAATCCATGTTGTCACGTATTCAAACAACTAAAATATAACCCCTCCCCTCCCCAAAATGTTAAGTCAAAATTCACTCTTGAGACCCACATTATGTTACATTTAACTTTTCAGAACTCCCATCATTGAGTTAATTCTCTCTCAACAGGAGGAGACGGAGGCCACAGAAAACAAAGCTGCAGCAGAACAAATGAAGAAGTCTAAAGGAGCAGTGCCCCAAATCCGGCAGAAGCCAAAGAAAGAGAGTAAAAAGAAGAGATAGACTGTGTGCGTGTGTGTGTGCGTGTGTTTTGTGAAAGTTTGTGCGTCATCCTGAGCACTTCAGTCTGTTATTACTGTTACCACTATGCTAACATAAAACACTCATTTCATTTACTACCCTTGGGTTTCACCATCATGATTTTTATTTTTTGTGTGCACTGTGTGGATTTCCATTGAAAAAAAAAAAAGCAAAATTAACACATGTACAGTGTCTCATTAATTATCTGGTAGCTCTTAAGTTTTTTAACATACAGCTATTATGGTATGTCTAAATATATGTTGTAAATCTTAATTCTTCCAGTCTGATGTAAAAAAAACTACTATATGAAGATTCTCAATAGGATAAATAAGCTATACATCAAAACAATACAGATGTAAAAGTAACGTATGATTTAGGACCGTTATAGCCTATTTGAGGGATGTGTAGCCTGGACTGCAATCGATTATAAATAACCTCTGATGGATCCAATGTATCGTTTCTGCAACAAAGAGATTTACATTTTGTTGTCTGAAAATACAATCTAATAACACTGAAAATGTCTGACAATCTTATTTTCAGCACAGGACCAGTTTGAACTTCGTTCTCACATGTATATTGTCCAATATTTAGACCATGTGTTCTTTTCTGCTTGGATTGGTCTCACTTGAAAGTAAAGCTTCACAGAATACTGCCATTTTCTCCTCAGATAATTCAGCTTGATTTTTTTTTTAGGAAAATGAATCAAGTGTTGGCTGTCTGTAACTATATATTTACATGACATATAACGTGAACCCCCTGGAGTCCACACCTGAGCGCCGGGGGTCCCTACGCCATCTGCGCTACGCAAACCCTGCTCTACGTAAACAGCGTAAAGCCATCTGCGCTCGGAGTGATGCAGTACGTCGTGGTGGTGCCATTCCCACTCGCGAGCCGTATCTCGTCTACTCCACGCACACTCCTCCTCCTCCTCTTCCTCCTCCACAACTACCACCATAAGGCTTATCCGTCCCAGGCACACAGCTCGTCCAATTACCCGGGAATGACGCTCTCCCATCGGGACATTTTTGCCTAAATGGGCTTAGTGGCTGGGTCGAGGTTTCCACAGCAGCTGTCCATCCACTCCTCTCACTTCTCTAATGAGGACAGCCGTGAGGATTTAACCACGCTCTTCCTCGCTGCTTGTCTCTGATTGTCCAAAAAGGTGAGTCCGCTACCCCGCATGGGAAAGACTAAAATAGAGACGCTCCTCTGATTTCACGCAGAATTCGCCGCTAGTGCGCGTCCCCCCCCACGCTCACACCGGTGCCCATCATGACTTGTGTTTTCATTGTTGTGCAGCCAGTCTGTCAGTGGAGCTGGGTAGACATTCGGCCAGCGCCTGTCTATCACTGAGGGAGAACAACAAGAGGGGAAGCTCGCGTTTACCCCCCTCATTTACGTCAAGCGAGCACCTGGGAAATACGCACCAAAGACGCTGCGCAAAAGGATCATGAAACTATTCTATTCCCCCCCGTTCAAAATGGAGCGATGGTGTAGTAAAAACAGCACCTGTTTTGATCCATCGCGGGCCGCATATGTGCTGTGCGTCTGAAGCTACGGCATTCCGTCGTGGCACCCCCTGCTCCCATTCACAAATCGGTGTTTACGACAGAATTGCGCACAGATTTTGGGCAAAGAAAGGCCTGAGGGTTTTTTTTCCCATGCGTTTCTTCCTCGTAGTAAAAGACGTTTCCCTTGACAGACAGCTGCTGTTGTTTATCCTCAGCAGCAGCAGCGCCGATCACCCCGCCCCATTGATTATTGAGAAGACAATCACCAATACACTAGGATGTTCTAATAATCGTATTTTAGTTGTAGACAGCTAATCTCTGCGTGGCTTTGGTGTTCCCGCTCTCATTTGCATAATTCAGTTGGTTCGTTTTTGCTTTGTATGTGGATATGGGAAATCCCGTGATGGGAACTGGACTACCTGTGGATTTAGTCAGGGACAATACACCTCCTCAGAAACAACAGTGTACCACATGATAAAGCGGGTTAATTGAACTTTAGTTTTAATTTACCTGTTGTCCAAAGAGTCTGCACTCAGATTATACTGTATTTTTTGTTTGCAAATGTGTATGTCATTGTGCGTTGTTGCAGGACTCAAATATGACTGTACTGTGTGTGTAATAATTGTTGAAAAAAATGATGCATGAGTTTTGGGATTGAGGTGAACTGTTTACGGCTATGGCATTGTGGTCGTTTACCCTACTGCAAAATGTGTTGATTATTGGTTTGGTGAATGTTGTAAAACTAAGTCCAAGTCATGCTACGTCTGTTCTGACCAGCTGAGGTACCTAACTTTCAAACCCCAATATATAAATCCTTCTAAGTATCTCAATTCAACATATTCTTGTAGTCTTGAATTACAGCAGTAGTTATCTCAGAGGACTTAACAAAACCGTTGAAATAGCCAACAACAAATCGGAGAATAAAAACAGTTTTTAAAAACAAGAAATGAAACAGAAAACATATATCGGTCCATTAGAGTCAGATGACTAATGTCTGTAAGTGTGGATAAATGCCCATAGATGTTGGTTGTATTGTTTGGCCTCTGTCAATTCAATTCAATGTATTCCTGTAAAGCCCTAAATCACAACAGTAGCTATCTCGATGGCGATTTCAACGTTTATTTTTTTTTTAGTCCTCCAATAGTTAAAACACAAAACAATAGAACACAGGCATTGGTCCATACGGGGAGTTGACCAATGTCCATGAATGTTGTTGAATGTTTTGGGTCGAGCAGCAGACATAAACAGTAGATGGTTGAACGTGTGGGCCTAGAAAATAGCCTGCACTCAACTTGGACACCGCAACAGCCGCAGATCAGAGAAGCTTCAGAGACCAGATCAAAACTGGATAGAACTTTATGAAGGCGGCAGTTTCCCCAAGTCTGTGCTTCATTCATGTTTAAAAAAAGGGATTTGTAACTCTTCAGCAATTGTGCGAATTATCTTGTCTGCACCGTACAACAACCTGGCACCAGTCTGTCTCATAATAAACATGTACGACGATAATAAAACTAGCCAAACTGCAGTGCTTTACGTTCCCGATCCAAACAAACAGCTCCACATGTGAATCCCACTGCATTATTATACACATGGACATTGGTCTCTCCACGTGGACCATTACATATGTGCATTTTCAGTGTCTTAGCTGTTGATTCTCTGATCTGTGTCGGTGATTTCAATGGTTTCTTTAAGTCCTCTGAGATGATTTAGGGCTATATAAGAATAAATTGTATTGTATTGCATTGTATTATGGGTAATGTAGTGCGGTTAAGACACATGGTTTGTAGTCCATGCAGCCGGAAAGAGTTGCTGGGCTGCACATTTGCTATTTTTCTCCTTCACCACCTGGTTCCCCCTCCTGCAGCTGGTCTGGTTTCATAATTTTACCTAGAGTCACATGACCTGAAGGTGCTCTGATGTCGGCGGCGTCTCGGACACTAATCTAACCACAGCGTTCCCTTTTGCCATCAGTCGCACACAGGGACCTTGACCGACTGCCGCCTCAAACAGGACTATTCGCTCTCAGGGCTCTTTCTGACACAATGCAACAGATAAAATGCTTTCTAACAAGATGAAGATGGCATGTTGTGGACTGATTTGTCGACAATATTTAACATTACAAGACTCTTTCTGTTGGAACAAACGGAACGGATTACACGTGAAAACAAGTTAGGCACCCCAGCTTTAAAATCCTCAATGATACAGAACGAAGCATCACAGAATTTTTCCCTAAAACAATGTGATTAGGATTTGATCATTATGATTCTGGTTTTGGATATCTGTGCCTGTATAGGAAATATTGTTGTATAATGTATCTTTTGATATCGTTTAGGGCAATATCCTGATTCGGTCTTTCAGTTGCTGTATTAAATCTATTTATTGGCTGACATTAACCCAGAATGTCAGAGGATTTTCCGTGGCAGCTATTGAAAGCCACAGTATTGGTATTAGACATAAAAAAAATTTGGGTATGTAAATATGATATAAGATAGTTTTCAGCAAGGCAGAGCACAAGTCTAAGGCCAAAATGACTTTTTTCTTTTAATTTTGCATCACGAGATCAAGTAGTAATATAAAATAGCCCAATGCTGCCTCAAATTATCTCTTCCTCTGCAGAAATATTCAGGACATTGATTGGATCTGTTTCTCATTCAACATTTCTTCAATTCTCCAGCTACAATTTACTTTTCCCACCAAGAAGAGCAATCTGGTGAACGGTCAACCAAAAGGGCAAAACACTTACTTTGGAACACTATAATAGCCACTAATTTGCTTTCAGCTTGCCTTGGCATCATATTAAGAACCCCAGCGCCTGCCCATATGCAATCAGCAAAACACATTTGCCTTATCTGCATGCATGTCGATACATATTCCGGTTGAATTAATTGTCCCCATGGAGTGGTGTGTGAAATATGCATCTGCCATTAGTTTGAGAGAGTCCTGTGGATTAGTAAAGTTAATCATTGGCTCAGCTTGTGGCACTCACCGCTGCCCCTTGGCCCCGCCCCACCCAGGCCTTGTGTGAATGAATCCTGACAGGACACCCATCACACCAGTTCAATGTGGACAGGAAGTGAGGGGGGGAATATGAAGTCTTATCAGCTGACAGCAACCATAGGCCTAGTATGTGATGTCAAACCTATAATGGAATGATAGTTTGATTGAGCCTTCACATGGGTGCTTCCTTTTTTGGGGTTTGCATGTTCTCCCCATGTCTGCATAGGTTTCTAGTAATAATAGTAGTAAACAATACAAGTAACACAATAGGTATGACTGTAATGAGCAAGTAAACGGCGGATGGTGGTGGTCGTGGTTTGTGAGACCTTGGTCTGTGAAATGCGAGGTATAAATACTGTAAATGGCTTACTTACTGTTGTAATGGGAGTTTAGAAGAAAATTCACACCTTTTTTTCTTAACCTGTACAGTGTATAAAGAAGTTGAAATCTAAACTTTGAGGTCAAAGTTTAGACTTCAACTTCTTTTTTTTACTGCTGTTTTCTAATACAGTTCAGTGCCTCCATACAAAAGATTGTATTGTTTCTGTCTCCTGAGGGCAGTTCCAATGAAGTGATGCATATCTTAGAATCGTTCCAAACAGTGAGCGGGCTTCCGGTCACCTGTTCATTTGGCGTGACTGCAAATTTAAACATCCGTCCGTCCGTCCGTTTTCTTCCGCTTCATCCGTTGCCGGGTCGCGGGGGGCAGCAGTCTAAGCAGAGACGCCCAGACTTCCCTATCCACACACACTTCCTCCAGCTCGTCCGGGGGGACCCCAAGGCGTTCCCAGGCCAGCTGAGAGACATAGTCCCTCCAGCGTGTCCTGGGTCTTCCCCGGGGCCTCCTCCCGGTGGGACGTGCCCGGAACACCTCCCCAGGGAGGCGTCCAGGAGGCATCCGGAACAGATGCCCGAGCCACCTCAACTGGTTCCTCTCGACGTGGAGAAGCAGCGGCTCTACTCCGAGCTCCTCCCGTGTGACTGAGCTCCTCAGCCTATCTCTAAGGGAGCGCCCAGCCACTCTGCGGAGGAAGCTCATTTCGACCGCTTGTATCCGCGATCTCGTTCTTTCGGTCATTACCCAAAGTTCATGACCATAGGTGAGGGAGGGAACGAAGATTGACCGGTAAATTGAGAGCTTTGCCTTTCGGCTCAGCTCCCTCTTTACCACAACGGTCCGATACAGAGACCGCATCACTGCACACGCTGCACTGATCCGCCTGTCAATCTCACGCTCCATCCTTCCCTCACTCGTGAACAAGACCCCGAGATACTTGAACTCCTCCACTTGAGGAAGGACCTCTCCACCCACCTGAAGATGCAAGGCACCTTTTTCCGGTCGAGCACCATGGCCTCGGATTTGGAGGTGCTGATTCTCATCCCAGCCGCTTCACACTCGGCTGCAAACCGCTCCAGTGCATGCTGCAGGTCCTGGCTCGTTGGAGCCACCAGGACAACATTGTCCGCAAATAGCAGAGATTAAATCCTGTGGTCCCCGAACCGGACCCCCTCCGGCCCCTGGCTGCGCCTAGAAATTCTGTCCATGAATACAGTGAAAAAGAACCGGTGACAAAGGGCAGCCCTGGCGGAGGCCAACATGCAGGGACCGAACAGCCCTCAGCAGAGGACCCCGTACTCCCGGAGAACCCCCCCA